GGTCCTTTTCTGCTGGGCAGCTTTCCAGCCACTCTTCTCCAAGCCTGTAGGGTTGCATGGGGTTGTTGTGACCCAAGTGCAGGACCCGGCACTTGGCCTTGTTGAATCTCATACAGTTGGCCTCGGCCCATGGATCCAGCCTGTCCCGGTCCCTCTGTAGAGGGTTCCTACCCTCAAGCAGATCAAGTGCCACCCAACTTGGTGTTGTCTGTAAACTTACTGAGGATGCACTCACTCCCCTCGTCCAGATCTTTGATAAAGATACTGAACAAACTGGCCCCAATACTGAGCCCTGGGGAACACCACTGTGACCGGCCGCCAACTGGGCTTAACTCTGTTCACCACAACTCTTATTTGCCTAACTGCATTAAAACCAAGATAATTACAGAAGCGTTTAAAAGTTAGATATAGATCAGAAATTACAGTTGCTTAGAAGTAAAAGTTCATAATGCAGAATCACAGAGCCCTTGCAATTAATTTACAGCTTTACTTAAATTAATCACCTTTATCTAAACTCCTCATGGATGGCCTGGAGCATACCAAAAGCGTCCTAATTTAAATAGCTGTTTTTAAATAAACCCTGACGGGACTTTGCTCAGGAGGTACAGCACAGTGTTAGCAAGTCTGAATAAATGGTGTTGGCTTTTTATGAAAACAAATTGGATTAATCTCAACAATTAGTCATAGGAAAATGCATTTGCATTTATATTAAAAGAATACATAGCGTGCCCAATGAGAACATTGTTCTCACCACAGACATAGTCTCTGGTGCCTGTTGAATTAAAATGCTTCAGAAATATTTCAGCCTGCAGGTAAACAAACAAGCCGTGGGATCATGTGAAAATGAGCAAACTGATTTTGGCATTTTCAGTCAGTGGGACACTTGCTGGATGCGTGTTCCCGCTTCTCAGAATTCCCGCCCTTGCCTCACTGTCCATGCGGATGCGAGCTTCTTAAATGATGGCAGTGTGAACCTGTGGTTTAGCTCAGAAGGAAGCCCCATTAGGGTTTACAAGCCTGCAGTTGCTTTTAAACCCAAAGGGATTTCCGCTGATCGTGGCCTTTCCGGCCCTTCACATCATTACAGAGGAAGAACCTCTTTTTATGAGAGGCAGATGGCAAACAAAACCCCACACTGTCTAGTCTGCAGGTGAGCATGCCATTTATTTCTGGTGGCTCTACAACACAACTGAAGCAAAACATAGACACCATGAAGAGTCCTTCACGTGTCTGGTGCACCTAACAGAAGCAGCTGCTGATGGCTGTTGACACACAAAGAAGCTGTCTAAGGATCCTCTGTTTTGAGTAGTTGTCCATTTGTGTGTGAAACAATATATTCCTTAACCTGCTCTAGCTGTGACCTCGCAGGATGGCTGGAGAATAGTTTCCTTGCATGCTGGAGAAAGCTGTGTCTAGATCCTTTCCTCAAACGGCTGTCACATGTATTCAGGGTTCTCAGAAAGGCTGCATGGTGTTGCCTGAATTTTGCAGATAGATTCAAATAAGAGGTCTGAGAAGGCACAACTACACTGTATGTTACATTCCTGGGGAAAAAAACACCCCCCACCCCCCAAAAAAAAGGAAAAAACCAAAAAACCCCACCAAACCAACAAAGCAAAACTGGAGAAAATGGAAAAAGAGTTAAATATATTATTTTCCAGTTTTTGTAGACACGCGCCCTTAAGTTTTGAACTAAAATAATTTAGTATGTACATTTGAGATTTGCACCAGCCCTTTTTCTTCGTGTTGGACATAAGTTTTATCTTGGATACCCTGCATGGCGGAGGGCTGGTGGGCTGCTGCGCTGTGCGCTGCTGGCTGAAGGAGTGGGTGAACAAAGGTGTTTTATAAACACTACAGGCAGCAGAGATCTCCTGTCTGGGCTTGTTTTCACTCATAGGGACTAAACCGCTTCTCATTTCTTCGCTGCTGTTTTGTTTCTAGGGCATCAGGAACTGTTTATACAGCAATCGACATCGCCACAGGACAAGAGGTAAGTGTCAACAGTCCCAGCAGATTTTGCAGGTATTCAGTGCTTTCCCCTCTGGTGCGAACTGTGGATGGGGCTTTCGGGTCGACAGGAGATCTTTACTGCAAAGGCTGTTCCTCTGAAGCACAGACTAGTGTCAGCCTGCAAAATACATCTTCTGCTGAGGCTGTTCCTCTTAAGCATGGACTAGTGTCAGCTGGCAAAATACATCATCTGCTCTCTTCAGCTTTTTGGTGAAAGCTCTTTAAGGGCAAAGTGGTTCTGTGCCTCAGTAACTGAACACTTACTGTGGCTATCCGCTTTCCAGCAACCATTACACTGAGGTGTTGATTAATGCTTGAAAAGGTGCCTGCAAATTCCTGGGGGAAGGTCCTGGTCCCCCTGGAATCAGTAAGAGCTTTGGTGTTCTCTGTGCTTGGGCTGATGCTTCACCCATAGCTTTTAAGGCCAATTGTAAGAGAATTGTCTTCAGAACAGGTCAGTGCTCTCCACAGTATTGTTGGTCCCAGCCTGGTACCATGTTACATCATCCCTGAATGGGTATTTTAATGGAGAGAAATCTGTAAAGAAATCCCAGCAAGCTTTTGGGCCTGATAAAAACTATAGAATTTTTATTGCCAGTGTAAATGTATTGGTTTAGAAATTGTTATATCTCTGTTGCCCAGTGTGCGTGAAGTTGTGCTATTACAGAGAATGTTGGTCTATATATACAGTTTAACTCTGTACATTTACAGCATAAAACCTGCCTGTGGACCTGGCCGTAGATCGGTTAGCAATACAGATTGTAAAATCTAAAGATCTGTCATAATGAGAGGTCTCAGGAGAACCCTAGGGGTGGTTGCAGATTCCCCTATTGCTGTGAGGAATAAATAGCTTCATTATGTGGCTTAATTTCAGGCAGACTTTGTCCTTAATAACTACCAGAAAGAATGCAAGGAGGGAAGCGGTATCTTTCAGAGAAGAACACGCTAGCTCTGTCTTGATTACTAAATATATTAACGCATCAACTAGCTGATGGAGGCTGCCGTCATTCAGTCCCAATTTATCTTAATCACAGGTTCAGACAGTAATAATATTTAGCATTTTTTCCATCATGTGTTTCATCTTCAAAGTATAATGCAAGACCTAATTAAGGAGAGATCATGTTTAGGATGCTATTTTGTGTTTTAGTCATACTGACGCTGGTTGACACACACACTGACAAATGAGAAGACATATCATAGCATCATAGAATAGCTTGGGTTGGAAGGGACTTTTAACGGTCCTGCAGATAAAGTATATCGAGAGCAAAGATCTCTCCTAAACTATACAGTCATGTTTAGGTCCAGTGTCAGTGACAGCCCATTACAGCCCGTGAACTGGTCACAGGGAAGTGGGGGTAAGGGAGGTGAGAAACAAATCTTGAAGGAAACCAGTGTTAAATCTGACAGTCCCTGTAGTGGCTGCTTTAAAGTGGCATCTTAACCTTCATTTCCTTTTCCAAGCCCGAGTTTTTGAATATATAAAACCCTGCCTGAAAATCTGGCTAGAAAACCAGGAATGAGAGCAGAGGGGTGGTCCCTTTCATGTCATGTCAAGAGCAGAACTAAACAGAGGGGGAGGCTGGCCAAATTGTGTATGGAGGAAACAAGAGGCAGATTTTAAATAGCCACGGGGCCACATCTCCCCACAAGGTGTGTGTTGGGTAGGAGGGCTCTTCTGGGACTGCTGGGGAAGATGTATTTGTAGGAGTCCTTGGCTGGAGCTGAGCTGGATGGCAGGGAGAGAAGTAGGGCTGAGCCCAGAGGGACGGGGCTGGCAGAAGCGGGCTCAGCAAGGAGGCCAGGACAAAAAGCTCAAGTGGAGACCGTGGCTGCCTGGGGGAAGATGGTACTGAGCGGAGGAGCCAGGATGAGGCAGAGGCAGGATGGTTACAATGGTTCAGAGCAGAAGTAATCATATTAGTAATAAACAGACAAGGTGGCGTCTTAGAGAATCCCGTTGCTCTTTGGGGCTACAGCTTCAGATTTCTGATTTATCATTTCTGGCTGTCAGCAAATACATCTGAATCTTACTGGTAGTTTCTCACCCACCTGCAGTGCTGCACTTTATAACTGCTCTTAGATCCCTTGCAGACCTCTATCTAAAAGCCCTAAGCCCTGCTTATAACCCTGGGTGTATCCATAAAATACCATAGCATGGATTATTTTTTTCAAACCCAGAAGATAACTGCAAATCTAAACTGTGTTAAAGAATGTTATTTAGGGTTGCAAAATCAAAATTCAAGACGTTAGGAAGTGCTAGGATTGTATTTTTTTGTTGTGTAACCTTTGTGATCTTTTTAGTATGGCATTTTATATGTAACATACGTGTTTTGTTTCAGTTATGCAGTCAAGTTAAGAATAACGGCAGTTGCTGAAATAATGATCAAAAATCATATAAGTGCTGAAGTATTACCAGCTGTTTTTATATATTTTCACAGTAACAAAATCATTTCCTGCTTGCAAAACGTGCATGAATAATAATAGTGGTGATAAACTAAGGCCATTTGAGAAGAATGTAGGTCCAGAGAGTGTTAGAGATTTGTGGTTGATAGTTTAAAGACCATTTTTACAGATTTTACAAGGCAAAATAGATATGGCCATGTGTCCTGTAACTAGCACCCAAGCTAGCAGAGAAATAGGGTGTTGTGATGTAAGTTACGGAGCTCTTATGTCTAATAACAAGACAGTCTGGCACAGCTCTGCTACGTCATTCCAAAAACACTCGCTCCGTGTTCATTCTGAACTCGTGCAACAGACCACTCAAGTTAATGGTTTTCAATGTCATTTTAGGTGGCCATAAAGCAAATGAATCTCCAACAACAGCCCAAAAAGGAACTAATTATTAATGAAATCCTGGTCATGAGGGAAAATAAGAACCCCAATATTGTTAACTATTTAGACAGGTAAGTAGTTCTGGTCTTACCACGTGAATGTTCATTTACGTACTGCAAGCCAAAGATTAAAAAAACCTTTTGGTCACTGACAGAAAATTGACCTCCTTATTTTTTTATCTACTCATATACAATGTGTGGGAGGAGATTGCATTTTGTCTGCATTAATCTTTTCTGGCATATATAGTTTGAAGACTGTTTTCAAAAACCTGGATCAGCCATATCTTACTAAAACAACAGCCTGTAAGTTCATTACCTCCATGTTTTGCTGTTTGGGGTTTTTTGGTTTGTTTGGGGTTTTTTTTTTAAGTTGATCGTATCTTCTGTGTCTTATGATAAGTGCTGATAAATCATAGAAATTATTTCCCTTGGGCTGTTCCCACTATTTTCCATTGCTGTGGATGCCAGGAAGACTAGGTTCTTGTTTCCAGCAAGATGTAAGTTGCCAGTTTTTAAATTGTTTTTCCTGTTTCTGAATGTATTTTATGTAAGGTTTTCCAAACTGTTGACCAATTTCTGTCCTCAGTGGTACACGCCCTCCTACCATGGACGACTATGAAAGTTGTGTTGCCTTTTCCTGGAGTTAATCGTGGAATTTATGTGTTAAGATGATGAACCAGATGATGTGATATGTCCTGGTTCAAGATGTATCTTTGCCGTTACTAAACTGCATTTTTCACTTGCTTGCCATCTAAGACGTCTAATTTTTCACTTATGTACCTTTCTCATTTAGCCTGCACAGATTCTAAGTACCGTGTAGGCTAGAAGGAGTGTCTGTTCATTTTATTCTGTCTCCATTTAAAAATGACCTGGAAACAAAAATCAACTGTAGTCTTTTTCATAAGGTAATTTAGCTATGCACATTCACCTCAATGCCATTGTTTTCTTCTTTCAGCTACCTAGTCGGTGATGAACTCTGGGTGGTTATGGAATACTTGGCTGGAGGCTCTTTAACCGATGTTGTTACAGAGACATGTATGGATGAAGGACAGATAGCAGCTGTCTGTAGGGAGGTAAGGGATCCCGCGTGTGCTTCTGATTACTTGGACAGGATGGTACATCTAAACGGGTGGTAAGAACATGATTGATTCCATGTTCAAAGCTTTGTTTCTGTGTGGCTTTGATAATATGGAGAAGAGCGAGCATCTTCAGTGAACTGCCTGCCAGTATCACTGCACTTATTATACTTTGTTGTTATATTCTTATATACTGTTATTGTACGATCTTTTTTTTTTTTTTTTTTTTTTTTAGTTATACTATTCTCAACTTTGCCTCTTTCAACATTTGCCTGGAGCATGTCTGTACTGCATTCCTTGCCTGTAAAAGCAAACATGCTGGTGGCAGAATTTTAAAATAACAGCAAAGAAAAATAGAGACTCATTTATCACAGTCCTCAGCTTAAAAGGGTAGCATTCCACCCAAAATGGTGTTTGCTTCTGAAAAATGACTAACATGCTATTTCCAAATCTGCTGTAGAGCCTAACAATAAAATCTTTGTCATGCAACCTCCCACCCGAAAGTGATCCACTTCATACCGAAGGAAAGGACTTTTTCTTTTTTGGCAAACAGTAGTTTGTCGTATGGATGGAGATAGCACGTTCATTGCAGCAGCAGTCATTCTGTCTGTGCTTTCAGGGGATAGTCTGTAACAATAATTGACATTTCTGTTTCAAAAGCTAATATGCCTTCATTTAGAAAGTTATTACTCTAATAGTGTTGAAGCAGCAAGCTATTCCTCTTGACAGCACAATGTTCTGCCATTACTCACAATTCATCTAGAAATTAAATCTTTTAGAGCCATTTCCTTTCTTGTGTGATGAAATCAAGTCATTAACTTTTACCCTCATGTTTCTTTTTTACCTATCAGTGCCTGCAAGCACTGGATTTCCTTCATTCAAACCAAGTGATTCACAGAGACATCAAAAGCGACAATATTCTTCTCGGAATGGACGGATCTGTCAAATTGAGTAGGTATTCTTGGTCAGGCGCAGCGTTCCCAGGATGTGGTGTGGGGCTGCTTTTGACTGACTGCCAGTTACCCAAAAGTGATTGCCTGTGGTAGTGCGCTGACCACTGCCGCAAGCTAAGAGCACAATTCCAGTGTGCAGAGAGGTATAGAAAGGGAAAAGGTGTAAAGAGTGACTTTGGTTTGTGTATGTCCCTTCCAGAGGGAGGGAGTTACAATCGAAAGCCTCAAGTGGATAAAAGCCACTGCATGAAACTTGAGGGGTTTTTTAAGTGGCTAGTTCAGTATTTCCTTGGCTACAGCACTGTGTAAACAGAGCATGGCCACTTTTCCAGAAAAATTCAACAACGCCTTCTCGGGCATATAACGGGGATTTCTTTTGCTCGGTTTCATAATTAAAGCTGGCTTTAACAATACTTGTTTTTCTCTTCAGCTGATTTTGGCTTCTGTGCTCAGATCACCCCCGAGCAGAGTAAACGGAGCACAATGGTCGGGACTCCTTACTGGATGGCACCAGAAGTGGTGACAAGAAAAGCATACGGCCCCAAAGTGGACATCTGGTCACTTGGGATCATGGCAATAGAAATGGTGGAAGGAGAACCTCCTTACCTTAATGAAAATCCTCTCAGGGTAAGGTGCATGTCTTTCTAATCTGTCCTGTTTTGTCTCCCATGAGACAAAAATCCCAGTCACATCAGCTTCAACTAGTTCCACCAAGGCCCGCTTCTGAAAATGTCACTGGAGCATATCGGCGTATACTGTAGCTTTGGTTACGTCAATGGGAGAACCTCAAAAGAGAAGTGACATGTAGCCAGTTCAGAAATGTGCCATTTTTGCCTTCAACGATGCTTGAAATTTCTCGTGCGGTTTTGGAACTCTCTTTGAGTTCTGTATCTCTGAATGACAAGAATTTTTCAGCGGCAAGTTTCTCCAATTGGGGAATTCTTATGAAAAGCATTTCAACTGTATCTGCAGGCAGAGAAGTCTTTTCAAACTCGGATCAGTGCCGATTGCTTACCTGAGCCTTTCGGGAAGTGTCACCGGTTATAGTAATGCCATAATTACTTATTACCAAATACATTTCTAAAAGTATGTTTTAGCACAGATATTTGTAGTAAACTAACGTATTTTTAATGTTTTGAAGTTTTCAGTTTTATCCCAATTCCTTAAAATGATATGACCAGTTCTTATACCAAATGAGCATGTAATAGTGGAGGAACGTATACCAAGATAAAACCTCATGACTGATAGCTGAAACAAAGTTAAATGCTGCACATCTAGTTCCTGACAGGACGCGGGAATTTATGAGGAAATTAATTTTGACCTATGTGTATACATACATAATTTTTGTTAAGGCTAGAATGAAAATAGAGCATGACCTTTAGCTTTTCTCATAGCAGTAAGGCTGCGCTCTCTCTGGTCCATGACACCCAGACTGCGTACTGCAGACTGCAAGAAGAAACAACAGAATGGTCAGGAAATGTCCCCAGCCGTGCTGCTTAAGAAAGGAGTACAACAATTATACGAATTTCAGTCTTCCACTCTTTTTGAAAAAAGGTTCCTGAGTTTTCTTGGAAGACTACTTTTGGTTTGGTAGGTGCCCTGGGGCTTTTTGGTTCCAGTGCACACATGTGGAGTGGTGTGCGCTGTGCCACCTCGTGAGGGGGGATAAGGCAGAAACAGGTTTGGATTCAGACTGATGGTGGATAAGCAGAGTGCCCCATAGCTGGCAGGGTGGCAGTAGGCCTGCGTCACTGCAGCCCCGTTTTACCAGCAGAGACTTTTGCACATCACCGGTTTTGCTTCAGTTTCCTGCAAAGAGAGGACCCCATATTCCACTTGCTTCCATAGAGGACCCTTGCAAAAAATGCATTTGCCTTGTGTAAGGCAGCAAAAACAGATGAAGAGAATTAGCATTACTGGTCCAGATGCTGAAAATTCCCTGCTTCCTTAACCTCAAATGTTGATTAGGGCTCCTCGAGAAGCCTCAGGTCAACTGTTAGAAAGATCACTGGATTTCTTATCTCTGACTAAAATCACATTCAGCTATTCCTGCCTGTACCCAGCTTATTTGAGATGCTCTTTTTCTCCATACATGCCTCATCTCCTGCTGGAGTTAAGATCAACTTGAACACTTAGAGCTTGAAGGCATCTTCAGGTGTCTGAGTAAAATTGCAGTAGATTAAAATCAGGCATCTGAAGTTGGTACCATCTGTACTAGCTTCCTGGGCTCTTTTGCAGAGGTTGTTGTCCCTGAGCTAGGAACAGTGAACAGCTTGTGATGGACTGCCTGAAGTTCCCCAGTTATCAGCTGGTTTTATTAAGGTAAATCAACCCCAATAGGGGCAGGATCCATCTGCTGTTGTATGTGGAATCAGAGACTTCAGGGAGAGGTCTCAGCTGCATCCAAACAGGAGAGCTTATAAGCAAGACCTGTTTTTACAGCAAAGTTTTTTTTAGCTGGTGGCACACAGTAGTTGTTGGGTTTAATAGTTGCACTGAGACCACATTCAGGGCATTCTGCAAAGCCTGGAAACAAAAGGATGCTCTTTCATTTGTATGAATGATTGTTTTAATAACAGAAGGCACGCAGGAGCTTCAGTTACTGACACTAATTTAAATACATAAATAAATTATAAGGGCATTAAAGGATCATTAATCATAGCGTTAACAGCAGTCTTAATGTAGATGCATTTGTTGTTTTCCACACGTAGAGCAAAAGCATCCCATGTTGCTCAGGTTCTTTCCAGCCTATGCAGAACTCACAGGAATGAACCGTTTTCCAGCCATGAGTGTCCTGGATGTTTCTGTGATGGTATTTGTTTTCTCTCACTGTGATTTCCTTCCATCAGGCATTATGCCTAGTGCCTGAGGGACAAACATTGGTGTGATAAATATCCTTTGAAATGCAGGTTGGACCTCCCCAGTTTCAATTTAAAAAGAAAAAAAACCAAAACCCAAACCAAACCTTAAGCATTTCTCTTTGCTTTTTCATTTATTAACCACAGCACATCAATTTTCTTCAAAACTGTAGCATATTTTCCAAATGCTGTGGATCTTCTACAGTTTCAGGCTTCTAAATCATCTGTATACTGTTCTGTCATGTATCTGGGTGGCCTGGATAACTTTAGGATATCGTTTGCACAGACTGCAGCTATAATTGCATGCCGAATCCTTTCTTGTTTCTTGGTATATTAAACAAATTTAATGAGCTTATTGCCCCTTTGCAGCTACTGCAAACACTCATTTCCTTTGTACTGTACTTGTTTTTCTTTGCCAGCTGTATAACGCGAAACCAAAAGATACATGATAAGAAGGTACTTCAGCTTCCCATAGACCTTTTTCTGTTGTAGAAATATTTAAAAGGTGCAGTTCCTAGCTAAAGATGACTCTTCCTCATGATTCACGTTCTGTGAAGAAACGAGCAACTAAGAGTTCCATTTGTCCTGGCACTCCTGTTTCACAGTCAGGTGAATGCAGCTGGAATAAAACTTCCAAGGTTGACATCGGTGCTGTATTCCTTTACCGCAGGAGAATTAACATCCCTCGGGTAGCACAATTTAAACATAGCGAGGACAGGCACTCCAGCTCACCACTGTGTCCGGTGGCTGAGGTCAGCTGCAGATGGACAGGATAAGACTGATTTTGTGACACTTACGTTGTGGGAAAAGTAAAGAAACTTCCTTTTATTGTTTTTACTCTAGGATAGTTCATTTGCCTTTTTAGGCTTAGAAATTTTCCTCTGTATTTAAGAGGATAATAACAAAGTCAATTTGGTCACGGTCTGTTTAAATGCCAGTAGCGCAGAGCTGTTATTATCATGGCAGACATTTTTATGGAAGACTCCTAGGCCTATTTCTATTATTATTACTGTATATTTTAGACATATTCTGCAAGTTTAAGTTTGAATATTTCAAAATGTTTGTCTTAGGTTTCTAAATAACATCTTGCAAAAGCAGAACGAACGCATCTCTCTAGCGTCTCAGCATGTTAGACCTTGGTTACAAGTGAACCACACTGGATAATGCTCACCCTGTGTTTTGCAAAACTACGTTATAATTCCTTGGCCTGAGGAATATCAGGAAGACTTGCTAAGCTGCATGAACACTGTCAGCTGCGTGGAAGTGAGCGTCCTTGGCTTTGCTTAAGAAACTTAAGCTTAGCTTAGGCTAGATGCTACTGAGGAGGAGAAAGGCTGGAATTTTCAAGTGTTTGGATAGGCCTGTGTGCACAGAATGACTGCATTCAGCTGAGCAGCTGGGCGTTGATGCACATCATGGAAGGGAATTCATAGAGGACTCAACCCTTAACACAGACGAATACTCCCAATTCTCAGCTAACGCTTTGCTTTGGGTTTTAAGTTGTTCCAGCTCTTCTGTCTGTGAAGATGACCCTGAAAATATGAAACAAGTGTAATAGATGTAATGTTATCTTTCCTAAAAAAAAAAACCCAAACCAAAAAAACAAATAAACTTTTCTAAAACAGTGGTTTTGAGAGATGAACTACCCCCCAATTCTTCTCACTGGGAAGCTTGCTTGAGACACGAACGTTATCGTTTAAAGGCAACACAGTCTACTCTGCTTCTTGTCCATTTTTGCTGAAATACTTAGTGAACATATTTCTTTCATAGTCCAAGCCACTTTCTCCATGTCACCAAAACCTCCCATTTCTTCCCTGGCAATTTCTGGGATAAGGGGCATCATTAATGTATTTACTTGAGTATCAAAATTAGCACAGGGTTACCACAGGGATGGAATTACTCATTTTTCTGATTAGACTATTAAAAGTTTTTCTTCTACCACATAAGTGAAGGTGATCTGGAATTTGGAGACTGCTGAAAGACAGTTGCAGGTGGCTCCTGTCTGCCCAATTACGCATTTTCTTCGTAATACATTCGTGCATGCAACTTACGTGTCTGTGTTGAAAATGAGGTTCCAAATGTTTCTGTTTCTTTATCGAAGGAATAAGCTGATGGATTTACTTTTTTTCATCCGGTTGCCATTTTTATCAAGAACAGAGCAAAAAAACTTGACTACCTTTGTTTTATGGAAGCTGTACTTTAGGGACCAGTCAGCACTGCAGAGATGCATTTTATGTAACAATCCTTTGAAATAATATAGATAGACCAAATTCACTCTTTAAAATAGCCTGTAAAGCTACTGTCAATACTTGGAAAAGCAAAACGTGCTTTTCCTGATGTAGTTCATACTAACTAGGTCAGCCAATGAAATCAGCTGTCAAGGCAAGATCATTTTGATGTTGGAATAGCTGTGGCTGCATCAGAGGGTTTTTTTTGTTGGTACAGAAAAATCATCTCTAACCCTCTGCCAGGGAAGAAACTGCCACTGGAGACTGGACATTAAAAAATGGGGTCTATATGAGCAGTTATGGATATAAAAGAAACAGGTGGAGTCTCATGTTTCCTTTTTCTCTAGGCGCTGTATCTGATAGCTACGAACGGGACACCAGAGCTGCAGAACCCTGAGCGACTGTCCGCTGTGTTTCGCGACTTTTTGAACTGCTGCCTGGAGATGGACGTGGACAGGCGAGGGTCTGCCAAGGAACTTTTGCAGGTAAAATGTGAAGCGGCTGCAAGTGAAACAGCCGTACTATGTAACGGTTTTCTCATCAGCTAAACTCGAAGGCATCAGATGGAACCCCCTCATATCAGTCTCCAGTCTTGGTGCTTTTCAAATGAAAAATAAGTAGAATCATAGAATGGTTTGGGTTGGAAGGGACCTCTAAAGGTCATCTAGTCCAACCCCCGTGCCGTGGGCAGGGACATCTTCAACTAGATCAGCCAAAGCCTTCTCTTCTCTAGGCACAACAACCCCAACTCTCTCAGCCTTTCCTCATAGAGGTGTTCCATCCCCCTGATCATTTTCATGGCCCTATTTTGTATTTTGGTAGTATATTCATTTAGACGGTGTTCTTTCTTATAAGCCCCCTTCAAGTACTGATAGGCTGCAATAAGGTCTCCCCAAAGCCTTCTCCTCTCCAGGCTGAACAACCCCAACTCTCTCAGCCTTTCCTCATAGGAGAGGTGTTCCATCCCCCTGATCATTTTCATGGCCCTATTTTGTATTTTGGTAGTATATTCAGTTTTAGACGGTGGCAAAATAACTGAAGTGGAATGACACAGAGATATGACTGGGGAGGAACCCAATGAAATCAGTCACAGCCCAGCGGTCAGAGATTCGGCTGTGGGAAGGAAGGGGCTGTGAGGTGCTCACTGTGAGCATCAGAGGGGCCCCGGCTTGTCCATCCTTCCCCACTCTTAGAGGTTTCTGCCACTGAGCCCCACTTTTAGAGGTTTCTGCCACCGAAACAGGGACGACTGAGCGGGACTTCTCACAGCTCCATTTGCTGCCTGGCACGGTCGAGTAGATAAGAACAGCTACAGGTTTGCTGCCAGGTTTTGTGGCAGATAGGGAGTTGCAGCATGTGCCACTTGGCTGTCCCTGCTTTGAAGGTGCCAGCCAGCACTGGAGGGGCAGGGGATGGGATGGTAGACACTGCTCCCGCTGCAACCCAGAGCTGAGTCCATCAGCGCTCTGTCACTTGTCTCCCTGCTCTTGTCTTGGTGCTGAAAACCTGTACCTCAGTGGCCTTCAGAAGAACACATGGGCCTAAATACTACTGGGATAAACATTTCCTAGAGGTATTGGGAGTTCCCTGAGGAATGGCTTATGCCCCTCATCTTTTTTGACAACTAAAATAGCCCGTGTCTTTAGAAAACAGGAACCTAAGTAAGTATTTCGAGTTTCCTGAAAGGAACAAGGCCCTGGGACAGCAAGCAGCGTTCCCAGAGCGCTGGCAGGGCAAAAATCCCAGCAAGCTGAAGACACCTTGATAAATGGATTAATAGGATTACGGGCCATGTTTGCCTGCGATAGGAAGGTACTGGACGTGACGCAGGTGCAGGTGGTCCCCTCAGTCCTATTTCTGCGTATTCCTGCTAACCAGAGGAACGCTGCTTGAGCCTGTGAGTAACTGAGTTTGGAAAGTAATGGTTCATTATTTTTTTTTCCTTTGGGCAGCATCCATTTTTAAAATTAGCCAAGCCTCTCTCCAGCCTGACTCCTCTGATCATTGCAGCAAAGGAAGCGATTAAGAACAGCAGCCGCTAGCGCTTCAGGCCGGCTTTCTCCCATGCCAGCTCAGAGCAGAACTGAGAACAAAAACTCTATAAAACCTCAACTCTTGTGCTGCAGGACAGATGGATGGATGAACAAACCAACAGTCACAGTCATGGTGGTAGGAGGGAGACCAACCCAGTCCCTCAAGGAGTAAAAAATTGTCATTTGTCTTCTTCCTGCTTTCTGGCTCCTTAATTTATTTTTAAGATGAAACAGGGCTTAAGACAGAGAGGTAATGACCGAAAATGCTTTGCTGCCTCAGCCATTTCCAAGGTAAAGCAAATTCAGTTGGAAGATTCCCTTCCTTCTCACCCTGTGAATAAGCTGTACATTCACTTTTAAATTGTCAGTTGTTTCTTAAAGACGGAAAGTCCCTTTTATGGTTTTTTTGGTATGGTTTGGAATTGGAGAAAGGTCTCCCTCGTTCGTAAACTCCAGACTGCACTGCCTTTTGAATACAGCCCACTTGCTGGTATTTGCCCAGTCATGTGTACCTCTAGATGAGGAAGAAAGTGAAATTGCATTTACAAGCAAAAAGGAATCAAGAGTGGGGCGGACAAAACATCCTGTTGAGATACAGGCTTTCAACTGTGAATATATAGTGTTTTGGTTCTTGACAATTTGATTTGTATAACTAATTGTAATCTGTTTGCCTGGATGAGAGTCTTACTAAAATGAAAAAGCAGAAAGATCAGACAGTATGCTCAGAAAGGGCTCGTCTGATGCAAAACTGTAAGAGATACGTGAGGTGAGAGCGGGCCCAGCCTCGCCTGGTGCTGAGCCCCAGCAGACCCCTTGCAGAGCACAGACAGCCTCAGCATCCGCAGACCCGGGCTGGAAGAAGGCGCTTGTAGTGGCAAGCGGCAGTGGACCGGCGCTGGGTGCTTGCCTCTTCCTGGGACCGGCCTGATCAACCCATATCAGAGTCAAAGTGGCAGTGGGCTGCTCCCGAGGTGAATCGTAGCCATGCTGTGGAATGCGCAGACTGGTGGGATTAGCCATCTTGAGTCTGTGCAGGAGTAGAGAAGGGCAAAACAGAGCTGAGTGGTGGTGTCACTTCTGAGGATGCCTACTCTCCTGGTCGTCTTACAGCTCCTGGGAAAGGTTAGTAGCGTCTGCGCCACTCTCGGCAGAGGGGGAGGGAGCTGGGCTGCTCCGCAGGCTCGTGTGCGGGTGAGTGTCCTTTTGGGCACGCGAGTTCTGCCATGGAAACTGAGGCCGACAGGAGTGAGTGACGACTTGCGCAGTTTAGATATGCATGAGCCAGTGCAGCAGACAGCTCTGGAAGAAAGCGCGTTAAAACCTGGAGTTCTGCGCTGAGCGAGAGCAAACGTGTGAAGTGGAGAGTGGATTGCAGAAATACTGAGAGGCGTCAAGCCAGCCTGCTTTCTGCTGTCCTGCATACAGCAAGCACTGCTGAATGCAGCTCTGAGTTGCTGGGAGAGAGGGAATCCTGGATGTGACTGGGGCTTGTGCTTGACTAGTCAACTGATTTGTAAGGGAGCAGAACAGTTTAAGTATGCAATTTGTGGTTTATTTATTCATTTCTGAAAGAAAGACGCAATGTGGCTTCACTCAGAGAAAGCATTTGCATGGAGTATTTGTTGCTGTATTTAGTAGTACAACTAGTCAAAGACCTTCAAAACAGCAATTGAAGCAACGCCCCCCCAGTGAGTGCAAAAAAAAAAAAAAAAGAAGAGTAAAACACCTTTCTGGTGTAGATCTTCATGTTTAGGCCTGGTCCTGCAAAGGGCTAAGTAGCCTTTAAGGTACTAACCACCTTCATGTTTTGCCGGTAGGAATGAAGGACGCTTGAGCTGTTCTTGAATTAGGCCATTAGCTTGTTTTGGCTTTGGCTTCTTACTTAGTTACAGTCGTTGTGTTGCAACTGTGACTAGTACTGGCAACTAACCTACCCTCGCTCGCTCTGTCCTTCCCAGTGTCTTTGGCTGAGGCAACAGACGGAGGCAGTGCTCATTGAGTTACCGCAGCTGAGTATGAATTAACCTTTCCTGATTTCCTGGGGAGCGCAACAGGTCTGATTTTCAGATGCCCAAATAACAAAAGATTCTGTTTCTTTTGTGAGGTCCCATTTTTCTCTGTCAGCTCAAGCTGTATATCTGGGGGAGAGACTTTCTTGAGAAAGAGAATAATTCGGGCTCGAGATGGGCTGCCCTCAATTTGTAAAGCATTCATCTGAATGAAACATGTTTGTATTCCATGTAAGAAGTGAAGAAACAAGTGACAGTTTCTGTTTCCAGTATAGCTTTTATTTTTTCCTACCCACAAAGGAACAGACAGCCGTCCTTTAAAAGGAAAGCACTTTTTTATGGCACGTGTTTGCTGGACATACAATATAAATACTTATGTTGACAGACTACGCTATTTGATTGGGTTTTTTCCTATTTATTTTCTTTACCTATAAGTATTTCAGCATCTCTACTTCAAAAAAGAACCCACCACCACAACTTCCCGGAAGATAAGGGATATGAAAAATAGGAAAATCAAATGGTAGCATCATTTTTTTTTTTTTTTAATCAGTGTATGCCTCAGCATACAGAATATTGTTGGCACTGGCTTTTTAAAGACAACTGCTGTAATAAGAGGCCTTACTTTTTATTTTATTAAATGCTATATTTATTTTTCTTTGCATCGGCAAATCTAGAGATTTTTTTTCTAAAAAAAATTCCTGGGAGGCAGGCAGGATTCAACAGAAATAATCTCTGCCAGTGGCTG